GCAGCCCTGCCCCCTCACTCTTGGGCAGTGGCTATGGCTCCATCCCACTGGCTCACATGAACAAGCAGCCCGATACTCCAGAACCAAGTTGGTGAAGGCCTGGCGCTTTGAAACCTAGGGGCTGTGGTCGTTCCACCCCCAAAGGCCACGGTCCTACCCTTTCAGGCTGAGGCAGCTCTGCTTCCGTTTCCTTGGTCTCTCTGCTTCTGCCAATTAATCCCGAAGGCAACCCCCTCTGCAGGAAATCTTCCTGCCCTAAAAACACTCAGCTTTCTTGCTCCATGGGCTGGCCAAACCTGCTACTCCATTTTATGCCCATCTTCTCTACCAATTAATGCCTGAAGGCAACCCACTCCACCAGGAGGCCGCCTTGCCAATGGTACCCAGCTTTCCCCTCCTTGGACTGGTAAGGCTGTTGCTGTCTCATGCCGTTCTCCGGGCTCTCCTCCTGCCGTCTCTCATGCCATATTCCAGGGTCTCTCTGCCAGGGTCTTGGATCAAGGTCACACTCCACTCCTGTTTCCACATTTTAGGTATCTGTCAGAGCAGCACCCCACTTTCTCGGTACCAAATTCTGTTCTGGTTACCTGGTGCCGCTCTGACAAGAAATACACCACAAATGGGATGGTCTTAACAAACAGGAGTTTATTCTTACAATTTGGAGGATTAAGTCCAACTTCAAAGTGCCAAGCTCTAGGGGCTGGATGAAAGCCCCTCAACCTTGGCATCCAGCTCCACCTCCTGCTCCCGGCCCACTGGAGCTAGAGGCATTTCTTCACTTAGACAGCCGCTGGCTGCTGAGGCTGAGAAACCCCAAGGTTGACAAGTAAAAAGGCACAGTACCGATGTTACCAAACCACACGGCAGGCCACTTAAGTGCATTGTTAAGTCCCAAGGTCAGCAGAGCATGGCAGGCTGCTGAGCAATGACGCGGCTACATGCAGGGTCCAAGCGTGCCATAGACTAGAGACCATTCCCAAGGCTTCTCCTTAAACACGGGAAGCAGACCATATCCCAAAGGCAGCTACTCAGCTGCTTGTGGTAGATCCCACCATGGAGTTGATTGCCAGTCTCATCATGGGGAATAACTATCACCAG